AATAAGTTACCTCAAATAACGAAACTAGAATAACACTGAAAAGAAAAACTAAAATGAAACTGAAACACCCAAAAAACAAAATCCCAAAACCCAGAGTCCTGACACTGTAGTTCAGTTTAGTGAATTACAATTCAGTCTAATTGGAGTTTTACAAGTCATGTTCTAATCCAATAAGCTCTTTACCAATATATACCTATACTTGTTTGGGAAAATCAACAAATGACTTGATTCAAATGTAAGTATTTGTCAACCTAAAGTCGACTCAACATAGTTTTTATTTACTGATGGAGACCCAACTGCAATTGCTTTTATAAGGTTGCATAATGATTAAATTATTTTCACAAAATGTATTATTCAGTGCGATACAAACTCATATCTGTATATCTGTAGGTGGTTTGGCAGCGGTCATCTACACTGATGCACTCCAGACTTTGATCATGGTTGGTGGAGCCCTTTCATTGATGTTTATGGGTAAGGCGGGCACTGCTGCCTCTCGCTACATGCTTTTTTTTAATAATAGTTATAGTGCAAAATACTACATGCAAAAGATAAGCTCATTTAGCAGATGTCTTATGTGAAGACATAGTAATTTTTAGAGAGTACTGTGCAGTATGTGATTCAGAAAAGTTATTGTCTTTGGCATCTGTTTTTTTAGCTTTCATTAAGGTGGGCTGGTATCAGGGCCTTGTGGATCGCTACATGTCAAGCATTCCCACAGTGACGGTTGAAAACACAACTTGCCATATTCCTCGTCCTGATGCGTTCCACATGTTCAGAGATCCTGTGTCAGGAGATTTACCTTGGCCAGGGTTAATCTTTGGCCTTACTGTGTTGGCTACATGGGTCTGGTGTACTGATCAGGTAACAGCTACATCCCTACATAGCTGAAGTTCATAGAGACGTCTTACGTCACCAGTAAAGCACTTGAGGTTCGTTACCAATGAGAACAAGACTTTATTCCACAAAATAATGCACTTTGTTCCATGGTTTTAAAAGACAATTAAAATTTCAGGAACCACAATGGGAAGGGAAGTGAACAGTACTGAGGCTTACCAGCAGGGGGAGGAGAGTCCAAATGTGGGGAACTGGTATTTAAAACAAAAAAATCCAAATAAATCACCCCAAACACCTGTGAACAGACAATTGTGAAGAAATCCCAACATCGGTCACTCATACAGCACACAGGTCCAGTCCCCTCCCCCAACCCCCAACCTTCAGCCTGAAGACAAGTGTGGGATTAAACAAAGCAAAACACCATAATTTAGACATGGACAAGAGTTAGAACGAGGTTACCCCCAACCTCGGGCATAACCAAACATTAAAAATCAATACTTTAATTGAGCAATTTAAAAAAAGAACCCAAAGCTGCCAATCGCAGCAAGGCCAGAGGCCACACAATATAATAATCCAAAACAAACAAAAGCACAAAAGAAACCAAACGAAATATTTAGGAAAAAAAGAAAAAAAAAAAAAAAGAAACAAAACAAAAAGATAAAACAAAGCAGCAGGGTCTCCAGCGAGCTGCAGCAGATTTATGTCTGAAATTAAGTTGCAAGTTAGGAGGTGATCTTAGAAGTGATAGAAGGCAGAGGAAGCCATTGTCACCTCCCAGAGCTGGATGACTCCACCCCGACCAGAGAGCCCCTTCCGGCCCAACAGCAGGAGGATCCACTTGCCAGTACTTTCTATTAATAAATAGGTGTCATTTTTGTGTGCTATGGGAGATGCATGGGTGTGATAAAATACATACCCATTTTATGTTGCTAAACTACACTGGGAGGTAGATTACAGCCACACCACAGGAGACTCCAGGCAGGTTCTAAATTTAAACAATTTGAAACAACCACTAAAATTGCAGAACTTATACAGGAGGAGAAACATTACTTACTGATAGAGTTATGGCCACTGCAAGTGACCCAAACAACCTTCCCCTGCAGCATGACCAAATGCAGGCATGAAGAAAACAGGTGAGGGAGTCTCCCTTTATACTCCACACCCATTAGGAGGTAATTAGGGGCCAGGTGTCCTCAGTCTTGGGGCAGGCTTCATCCTGCTACATTTGCATTAATGAAGTGAACTAGATCAGTGAAATAGATCTGACAACAAAGGGTGAGGCAGCTGTAAGAAGGTTTTTGACAATTTTTGAGAAAAATCTACAGTGAATTCCCAGTTATGTCAAATGTGGCGATTTGGTGATTCTACATCAATTTCCACGGTATTTCTCAAGAAACTGGAGGGACTGATTGATACATTGACTTGATTGATAACATAATATTGAAGCACACTTAAGAGTTTAGTCTAGAATCTAGAGGGCCACATAAAAAGTTTGCCCTGCCAAGAGGAAATACATTATAAACACCGTGTTTAACCTAAGGTGTTATAAGGTGGGAAAAAATCAGAACTGTGTGAATTATCTACTGTCTAAACTCTAAAAGGCTGCTTTTTATGACAGAAAAAGCAACAATAGAAATACAAAGATTAAAAAGTTTAAAACCTTGACACGAAAATAAGTAATCAGAAGATAAATGAAGTAAGGAAATAAAAATCTGAAGTTTAATGATTGCTTAATGGTGAAAGAAATATGATTCTAACTTTATGCTGATGCATGTTTGAATGTGTAGGTCATTGTACAGAGGTCACTGTCAGCCAAATCCTTGTCTCATGCCAAAGGAGGCAGCGTTTTGGGAGGGTACCTAAAACTGCTGCCCATGTTCTTCATTGTGATGCCTGGCATGATAAGCCGAGCACTCTTCCCAGGTAATTCTGTCTGCTCCTCTGTGCTAAACTTTTATGCCATACACCTGTTTTCTTCTTCTGGTTAATAAGACTTGGCATTGGACAATTAGTTTTAGACATGAATGTGCTGAAAGTAGTTACTCAAAGATGAAATTGAATTCCATCAGTGGAAATGAAAGTTAATTTAGTTAAGTTGTAAAAAAAATACCCTTAACAATTTATTTATTTATTGTTCATGCAAATATCACTATATTTCCTCTTCTCTGTTGGTAGATGAGGTTGGATGTGTGGATCCAGCACTGTGTCAGAGAATATGTGGAGCATCCGTTGGCTGCTCTAATATTGCTTACCCCAAACTAGTGGTAGAATTAATGCCTACTGGTGAGTCACAGAGAAACACATGCACTTCAGATACTGTCTATGACAGGAGTGTCCAAAGTCGGTCCTCGAGGGCCGGCATCCTACATGTTTTAGTTCTCTCCCTGGTGGTAACAACCTTTTCAGCATGTCAATGTTCCTCTTAGGTCTTCTAACAAGCCATCATTTGATCCAGGTGTGTTAAACCAGGGAGAGAACTAAAACATGCAGGATGCCGGGCCTCGAGGACCGACTTTGGACATCCCTGGTCTATGACTTCAATATGTCACTTAGTAACAGAAAACTTAATTTTATCAAATGCTTTTGTGTTTAACAATCAAGAGTATAAAAAGTCAAACAGCTAGAGAATCTGTGTATGACTGTCAAGAGGAGGACGTGAGACACCAAATCCAACAATGTAAATGACCTAATGAATACTATTGAAGCCACCTGGGCTTCTATTACACCTCAGCAGAACAACTGGCTCATTGTGGATAGGACTGACTCCATGCCATGCCGCATGTTGCCAAGCTAACCCATTAAATACCAAGTTTTTCCCAGATATGAAAATATTCAGGTCAGATGTAACTGGTTGTCATTTGAATTAACCAATAGTAAATACTTTAAAAATTTGGAAAATATTGGTGTGTTTTATGCCACCAATCACATTGTGACTGGTGGCATAATATGTGGTGCTCTCACTAAGATGAGCTAAAAGTGCTTTTTGTTAAATAATAAAGATAATATGTAAATATTGTTTCTTTGTTTGAATATACCTTGGCAAAGCATTACTTTAGAGCAACATTGATGATGCAGGACTACGAGCAGAGCGTGAAAGTTCCTACTGAACTGAACCTGCATGATGAGGTTAGCGATGGTTCGTTAACCACTAACAACCAAAACCAAAATCTTTTTACACACGCACAGATATTTTGAGACTATTTTCACTCCATAGGTTTTCTCAATTGTAGATTGTTGTTTTTTTTTTAATAACTATATTTTTGTGATTTTATGATGTAAAACCCTTTGAACTGCATTGTTGCTGAAACGTGCTACACAAATAAACTTGATTGTCTGAAATGGAGCCAGGAAAATCTGACATCTGGGAATACTTTGAGATTATCCTCACAATAAAATTCTTCTTAGATAACAATAATTAACCCTCCACCCCCCAATTTCTCACCTTCTGCAAATTTCCACTATTTGTAGTCTGATTAGCAAAGATATATCAGTCTTGCACAGCAGAAACATATTTAAACTTGTTGCAGAATTAAAATTAAACATGTAGCCAAATATGAGGGATCAGAGCCAATTAGAAATCCAAGAAAAAGTGAACGCCCTGACAGACATTGCACTTTCAAGACATTAAAACATCAATTGTCTTTATTGTCAAATCCATCTATGACGTAAAAGAAAACCCGACACAACCACTAACGTTCAACATAAACCAGGATTAGATTGGTTACAAATAATTGTAATAATTAAAACATATGACAATTAAATATGGTTTCATTGATTATCCTGTTACTAAACATGAGTTTGATGAAAACTTTGTGACAATATTGCATTTAGTAATTTTTGGAAGTATGATCCAACTGAGTGACAAGACTGTTACAGTTTCACCAGCAGATGTCACTATAGAGCAATGAATGAAGCATCGAGTAACGAACCTTTTTGCAAAGCAAAGGGCTGGAAAGGTTCCTTGCTTCATGAGGCTTCATTTGCCCATCACTAGCCCATTTTGCCTGAGGAAAAGAAGCTGCCTAATAATTTTGCACACCTTGATATAGGGTGTTGATCTCCTTAGGCCCCACCCTCCCTCATTAAACAAATACATATCAGCTGATATGTTTATATTCAATAAGCATTCAAGTTTATACAGCTTGGAGTTAAAAAATGTGCAAATATGAATACTATGTGGCATAAAAATGATGTGGTCAAAATGACTAAATGTATTTATATATATACAACTTACTACACACACACACCCCTGCATACTGAGGAGGTAATTCAATCATTTGGCTGAGGTGTGTTGGACAAAGGATTGTACTATGAAATGGCACTTTGTGCCTTGAATGTGCTATGGGTCTATTTATCTGGGTCTATTTCTGAACATGTCAGTGTTACATTACTTAGTATTTCTGTCTTTATTGGGTTTTCACAAAAATCCTTTTAACTGCAGAGAAGTAAATTATCTTTCTAGTAACCCCCAGTTATGAGATGCGTAAAACAGAAATCTTTACCTTTAACAGAAATGTAAGGTCATGTTGCACTAGTTGGATGGGCTCATATATCTGTGAACTCCAAAGTGGAAAATGGGCTCAAGCTCATTTCAGGAATGCATAGTAAGTGATGGAGTCCTAGTAACAATCATGGTTCCACAGGCCTGTGGTAGATTTCAGCATGTTGATGTTTTCAACCTTCTTAGACAGTGTTATTTATTAGTCAAAGGCTTTATTGTTTTTCATTATGTACCTTAAAAAATTGTGATGTAAATTTTGATGTGTGTTATATATGTGTGCTTCTCAATTCATTTTTAAATAGTTCATCTTGACAATGCAAATGTTTTTTTTACAGGTTTACGTGGTCTGATGCTGGCTGTAATTTTGGCTGCCTTGATGTCATCTCTGACATCAATTTTTAATAGCAGCTCCACTATATTTACTCTGGATCTCTACCACAAAGCAAGACCAAGAGCTTCAGAGATGGAACTTATGATTGTTGGAAGGTAGGGATGAAAATTACACCTCAAATCCAGAAAGTAAATTTGGACAAAAGAGATGAAATGTCAGTGTCTATCTATCTATCAGAAAACAAATTTTCTCCCTACATTCAATACTTTTGTGCTCCACAAATACAGTGGTAAATGTTTACTTATGCACCCCATGTCAGTGACCTGCTGAATTGCATGATGAGGTGTATGTTGATATAGGAGTTATGGGAAATAACACACTGTTTATTATTTATTTATTTTACATTCTTCTATAG